GTTGGAACGAAATGAACAACAGAACAAATTATGCTGCTAAAGACGTGTCACCTGAAAAAGTCACTGTTGAAGAAAAAACTCTACCCGGTTTTGAGAAGGAAAACAGTGAAGCCATTAATGAAGTTACTACCACTGATGTGACTGTTACCGATAATATGACATTTCCTGATGGAGCAGATGAACCCCACGTGAAGCAGAAGCCAACGAGACGGTTTATGTAAGTGGATGTTGTTCGAGAGGAACAATACTAAGGAAGGGGCAGTGTTACGATAGCGGAAGTCACGTGACGCTGGTAACACGTCATGAGTTTCTAGAAGGATCGTGACTGTTCCTGGCAACTCTAGTGTTTGCCAGACACCATCTATGTTTGTATATAAGCCCGACAAATAAAGCGGAGATATAATTGCCGATAGGGAGATATAGAGACAGATAATCGAGTCAAGTGAACGGTAGTGACCTTAAGTAAAGTGCGTGAATCGTTGTGAATTATAGTGTGTGTTGAAATTAAAGTGACTGTGGAAATTAAATGTATTGCAAAGTTGTATTGAGAAAGAATAAACTAGTTTTATTTAAGAAAGGACTTGTATCGCTGAAGTTCTTCGGAAATAATTTTTACGGGAAATTAACAAACGACCAGAGACGTAACAATATTAATGTTTTATTACAAGTATAACTGTGATCATTCTTCTCCGGCTTGTAAAAGGTGTGTGTACACTTCAGTACACTGATAATATTATTTCAGTCTTAACTATCACTAGCTATCAAAGATTAATTCATAAAAAAACACCGATTAATAACCCTAAATGCAGGAGCAGACTAAGAGCTAAAATAACCTGGGAAAATAATTTCTATACCGACCCTCCAGTGAGATCGGAGTAGAGAGATTCTTGAAGAAACTGAATGGGATACGGCGCTTAATGCTGAAAGCTCTATAATATGTACTAGTACTACTCATACAGTTCAGAAATTAAACAAAAAATACATGTGCAAAATTTTTCATTTATAATCCAATGTTTATTATATTTATTACCTATCTTAGTAAAGTATAGATCTGTGTGACCACAAAATTATGTGAACTGAAACTAATTTACACAAAAATAATTTTATAACAGTAATCTAATTATCTATTTTAACACTCGATGAAGGTCTATATAAATATTATTTAGAAAAAAAAAATCACAATTTTGTTTCGATGAACAGGTGACTCAATCCGTCCTTGGCTCTAGTGTTATTTATCTATACTCTTAAACGGTTTGAATCTTACTTTTGGTCAGTTGTTGTTGTTCATATTGTATTTTTTATGCAAAGCTATACAATGGGCTATCAGCACTATGTTCGCTGCGGGGAATCGAGCCCTGGTTCACTGGTGGACTTTATTTTTGATCTAAGTTGATAGCTAACGAAGCCTTGCTCTGATCAGAAGTTAACGTTAATTAATTACAACAAGCTATCTTCACTATTCTAAACCATTCTTTTCTTTGTCTGTGATTTTCTGTCACATTACAGATTCTGAAAGACAAATAAATATAAGTAAGTTCTGCTTTGAACTGTTTATATTTAGCATTAGCACCTGTATCTCTGTTTTTATAAATGCAAATATTTATATAATGAAATTTTATAATAAACCTTTAGAATAGTTGCCACTAGATGGCAATAACTATACCGTATGAGTTGCGAGATAACATTAGTGGTATTAAATATTACTACTTAATATTTTATCGCCTGATTCGTTGTGTTTGTGTTAGTGAAACTGTTTATGTTCTTCCTGTTACCATAGTTGGACGTTCATATACGTTAAATTTTAGAGTATATTAAATTAATTTAATAATTACTAGAAATATATTAGTGAAATGTCTGTAGTTCTTCCACCAGTTCCTTCTGCTTTGAAATCGATTCAGCCGCTTCTTAAAATAGCATCTGAACATGACAAGAGAAATCCAGTTATATCATATTGGTGTAAGTTTTAATTCTCTTATTTTTCTTAGACTTATTTTAACGTAAAACCACATTTATTACCAACATGGAAGATGAACGTGAATGTCATAGGCACTGTTAGTTACTAACAGTATTGGTCACAAAGGGTGAAGAGCAAATATGGTAATACTTCGACTTTACATTCAACTTCAACAGTGTTTAACAATAACACTAAGTTAACAGAAGAAAATCCATCATTTATTTTTCTTTTAATTTATTGTAATATAAAACTTCTATTAGTATTAGTTGTAAACAAGTACATTACCATATCAAGGCTTATGAAACCACATTAGTTTACTTTTATTAAAAAGATTTCTTCTACAAATGCAAATTAACTTGTAGTTGTATATATATTTTAATATTAAATTAAGATACTGTCATGTTCATTGAAATTTGAATGGCACAGGCCTAATCAGAAAATTAATCATTTTCTAATAGTACAGCTATGCAGTGCATCAAACTGCTTTCTCTTATGCCAGCATTTCTCAAATTTTTTTCACACATGCCCCTTTTAATAAATATGCTTTCTTCCATTCTGCCTCTACCTTTTTTAATGAGTGAAAGTGTGTGTTAAATGACAAGATGTAATACACAAATATGCATGAAAGTGCTATATATATATATATATATATATATATATATATATATATATGTAGTATTATTATTATTATTATAAAACATATAATATTATTATATAT